GCAATATGGAAAGAGAACAGCTGTAGAATCATTATTATATTTTGAAGCAGGAGACAGGAAAAATGGAGCAATGCCCTCACGGGGACTCGAGCCTAGACTTCTGTAATACGCGCCGAGTGTGTTACCCTTACATCGCGAAGGCATGCAGGGAGAAAATACCTTATACACCTACAGAGATGATCTGAAATTAATTGAACTATTACATTTGTATTCGATTGTTTGTACATTGCTGACGATATTTTTTATGGAACCTGGGTTGTGGGAATGTTTTTTCGGCCAGATAAAGGTTTAGTTTTCCAGAGAAACAGCATTTATCATCTTTGCTCCAATGCAGACTGGGTGGAGCCATTTTGCGTACCTTTTACACGCATGGTTAACACAGCAAGAAACCAAAATTGCTTCCTGTACATGAAGCCTTTCCGAAGCACGTTCGAAATGAATCCCCATTTACGAAATTGTGATACTTATTTAGTTTTTGGACATTCATATTTTACTCTCCTCTGGTGACTGTTCTGTCATTATTGTATTTGGGCTCATTTAATAATGCAAAACTAAAGCAAATGAATTAACATTTCATATCATGTCACGATATGCAAATACTGGGTCTTGTAGCAATTCCAGCAAAAAAATAAACGCTACTGCAGCGACTCTGATAAATGACAGTTTCATCTGAATGAATTATTTACTTGCTTTTGTGCAGTGGAAGCCTTCATTATTACTTATACAAAATTTATGAAAGCAAAATTTCATTAAAAATGAAATTCAATAAAAGTCTTTATTGTAATTTTAGGGAAAAAAATTAGTTTACGATTGTAATGAATTAAAGTTATTCCTGTCCTGTCTCTTCGTTTAGTAATTAATACATCCAGCCAGCTAATGGGAGGTTTTGGCTTAAGACAATGCTGATTCTCCCCCCCCCCTCTTTCTTTCTGATATCTGCTCGAAGAGAACCTAACTACTCCACAGAGATATGAGAACTTAAGTAGACTGAATGATAACTCTTCACAATCTTAATTTTGTCGAATGGTTCTTGTTTTCTCTATCCAACCCGTCCCCCTTTAAATGCGGGGAATGCAATGAGTCAAAGTCCGTCCTCCCATATACGCTTGTTTTGCAATTGTCGAGACATTCAGCTACTAATCGGATTTGATTCCCGATGAAGGAAAGTTAATGTTTCTTGTTATTAAATATCTATCGACTTATCTTGTAGAGTCATTAGGTTAATTGGCAGCAGAAAAGATGAAAAACGTGCAACCGTCTTCACCGGGAATCGAACCACGAACCTCTGAAATACCGGCCCAGCGTGCTATCGTTACACTACGAAGGCACGCTAGGGAAGTGGGAGAAATACCTTATATACTCCCCTTTTTAAAAGGCGACTAGGGTTTTAGAGGATCCTGGGTGTGGAAAATCATCATCTACAACCCTTTTAGCTCGGGCGCCACTTGTAGAGACATTGGGATTTTTGGAGGCAGAAAAGATGAAAAATTAACAATGCCTTCGTCTGGAATCGAACCACAGACCTCTGGAATACCGGCCCAGCGTGCTTCTGTTACACTCCGAAGGCACGCTAGGGAAGTGGGAGAAATACCTTATAACCTTACAGCATAGCCCTACCAGTGGCCGAATGGTTAAGATAGCTGAATACTGGTAGTTCAATCTACTTTCATTTGAAACCCAGGCGAACAAGCTGGCCGTATGGTTGGTTTTTGTCGCTTTTCCCATGTGTAACGTGAATACGAGCCAGTATCCCTCAGAAAATCCTCCACTAAGGCTTCCCTCCTCTTAGGCAGATAGCCCTCGTGGTTTTGCCATATTCAAATAACTTAATCTAACTTACCTTATTGCAAGAAGTTTCGCTTCTCTGCTGTAAAGTTCGATATTTTTGGCGCGATAGGAAGTATCGACTATTTCTACTTTTATACATATACCAAAATTAATATGTTTCAAATAGTTATGGAGACTTCTACTTTTATTACTACGATTTAATTACAAACAAATAAAAATATAATTAAAAACCCAGTCTTCCTATAATTACAATAAATTCATTATAGATACACAGTATTTTTCACGGACACTAAGAACTCTTTTTATTTAAAAAAAAATTATTAATATCAGAATGTCTCCTCTCAGTCTCCAGATAGTTTAATACGTTGAGACATAATATTCAGACGTCTCTGATATTATTTTACTAGTATTATATTTCGTGCCTTTATGATAGCAACAAGCAATATTGAACGGCAGCTTCTTTTATGTGAGAATTTTCTGCTTCGTTTAAGATGCATAATGGATAACCAGACTATATGATTGAGGATTCCCTTTTAGCTAATAAATTATCATTCTCGGTGAAACATTCTAAAACAGATCTGGCCGTGTGATACTATAAAAAAGTATTAAGAGTTCTCCTTTTCCAAAGGAGAACTACCATTTACTATCTTGCGCATTCAGTACAACTTACAGAGCCCCTTCTGATAAGTATTTAAATAATTTTCCCTTCATATATTGCTACTGCTTGATGCACAAGTTATTCCTGTGAAATTTCCCATCATTAATACCACTGAATGATGCTCTAGTAAGCCTTATATAGTGATGGCTGAATTAGGATCTCGTTAATTTACAGAGATGAATTTCTTTGTTTTAACATAACATTTTACTTCCTTCAATTTTCATTCTAAGTCATTATATTTTATCAAATATCCTTTCATTGGGAACTTATTTCCTATATTAGACAATTTATTTATGATAATCTTGACATTTGATAAGCATAGTGTGATGGTCACTATCGAGCGCACTGAAAAGACGAAATGCTAAGAGGCACAAGCAGACGGTATATGTCATTCACTACATAAATTTTGAGATAAATGGTGCTATGGCCTGTTAGTTCAGTTACAGCGACTTTTATGATTCGCTCGTGCAAATTTCAACATCACTGGTTGAATGGCTTCATTTGTTTCCACCTGAGCAGCTGTTACTCACCATCAACTATGCAGCTGGAAAGAGATTACGTTCACGCAACGATGTTCTACGATTTTAAAAGTGGGATGAACGAGTCTCAGAGTTTTAAGCCTTTGCAACGGGTTTCGAGAGACGCTGTTCTTTTCCAAACAACAATTTTTCAGTGATTTCCAAAATACCGAGGAGGACGAACTTCATTGAAAAAGGAGGAGAAGGGTGAAGGTCCAGCGACCACACCGAGAGAAAAATATCGTCTCTGTAAAAAACATGTTTCGCGAAAAAAAATCCAGTAACATTTAAAGAGACTGAAGTGGCACTGATGACTCTATTGCCGACTTCGAGTTTCCTGATTCGAAGATAATCATTCAAAATCTGCATGATTTTCTTCGAATCATTAAGATTTCCTCAGAATTTGAAAAATGAGCAAATACGTATACGCGTTGAATGGTTCTGAGGTTAAATGCTAGTCAGATTCAATTAAAGTAATTGTGAACAAACTCCGGTATTTTTAGAGGTGGTGAAACATGTATTTACTTCTTTGATTCAGATTGTGAGCGTTAGTCAATAGTGTGGAGTTTTCCTGCCAAAAATTCACCAAAAAAAGTGAGGCAGCCGAAAAGTATCGGACAGTAAATAGCGGGAATTTTCCTCTTCCAAAGCGAATATGTCGCAATTGTTCCTTTGGAGGAAAATAGATCCCTCATTGCTCAGTACTACACAACAGTATGTCTACCAAAATTTTCTGAAACTTCAAGAACGAAGGTCAAGAACAGGACTGCCGAAGACAATTTGTCCATGATAGTACATACATTCACCCCACAGAGGCAAAATTTATATCTCTACATTTCCATCCTGGCCTCATGTGATTATTTCTTGTTTCCTACGGCAAAACATCGCCTTCGCCAAAGAAGGCTCTCAAACCATTTAGAAGCTGTTTATGGCTGCGAAAGTGAGCTTACAGTACTTGATAAAAGTGCGTCGAAAGAGGGTTTTCATAAATCGATTCTGGGAATACAAAAATGCATAGCATGTCTTGACAATTATCTTAAAATTATGGAAATCAAAACGATTTCAAGTTTCTTAATTTTTGCGTCCCTCAAAACATTCACAATGTCTTTTGTAATTAATCATCCCTTAGAAGTTAACAGTTGTGGGGCATGCATTTAAACCTGATTAGTTGAATTAAAATTGCCAAAACTAAGGTTCAGGTAAGAACAAATGGACGGTGTCCTGGGTTAATAAGTGAAATACAGAAGCGATAAATAAATGAAGTACGTACTGCTGACGTCGTGTGGCATGCATCAACGCAGCGTTTTATTCAGTGTTAAGGTATACACCTAAGAATAATAAACACAGATTATTTAAAAATACCATCAGTTAATATTTACTTTAATTTATTTTTCTATTTAGTTTTACGGTTAGAAATACGCCGAAAGCAGCTGTATGATTGGATACAAAAAAGATTAAAAATGTCATTCTGAAAGCAATTTTTTAGAAGGATCTATGTCCTTATAATTTAATGCACAAGGTGATAAGAAAATTATGGGCTTTCAGCAAAACATTTACCAGTACCATTCTGCACTTGTAAGGCTATCACAAATCTACACTGTACGTAGAAAGCTGCATATATGTGAACTGTGAGCTATGAGAAAAACACACCAAAATATGCATTTATCATAAAATTAACATTCAAATAACACAATAATAATAATAATACAGAGTGATAATAATAATAATCTGTTCTTAACTTTATTACAAGCCACCACTGTTTTAAATAATAGACCTATTGTCCTCTTCAAAGGAATGAACTCGAGTAATGTGAAAAGATCAATAAAGTATACAACTAACAAGCTTCTAACTCCTTCACTTCCCGATAGCTCTTGTAAGTATGTGCCTTTCTTCCTTATTAAATTTGATTTTAAATTAATAATTTTCTTAAATAACTCAATTTTTCTTACGTATTTGTATCTAAAATCCATAAAATATTTTTCATTTAATTAAATTAATTAAGTTTTGATAGATTTAAAATCAATAATCAAACTTACTTCGAATTCAGTAGTGTCACCAGCCCTTTTTTTGTCTTCAATGCCTCTGAACATTTCCTCACAAAACCTAGGTACTATGCCTACAAATACAAAGACATTTAGAAGTGAAAGACGTCTAGGCAATAAGTAAAAGTACCAAACTTTAAATGTAGTTAGTTGTTCAAGATTATTAATTGGATGATCACACGAAATTCTTTCAAGAAATGTGAAAATACTCCTTTGAAATTAAAATGCGCAACTTTAATTTTTCATTTTTTATCACACCATAGTCTATATTTAACTATAAAAGAAATGCCCTCCTGTCGATACGACGGCTAGCTGAAGCGGTTACCCATACTGATGGACCTAGGTTTAAATCACGCCTAAGATATGAATGTGCCTTACTGTCATATATTTCCTGAGACGGGAAACTTAAAATATATTGGCTTAAAAGTGATAACGAGGCATTGTGAGAGGGGAAAAACACGTGCGAGATTCTCAAATACTGCTGTCCGCCATCATGCTTTCGAACAAAACTGAGATACTATGCCAGGCAAAGCCATATTGTCATCGCTGAGCAAACAAGACCAACAATAAATTTACCCTCTTCCACCTATAGGCTTCGTCAGCTTGTTCAGTGTTTACGAGATAAGTCAGAAGAAAATCGCTAATAAATTTTTGTAGGGTTTCTCATAATTTGAATAACCAATTATTCTCATTTTTGTAATTTTTTCTGAATTTCTCAACTTCCCTTAGTATTTTCTCGCCAGGACGCAAATTAAGGTAAAGTAAAGTAGAGTATTTAAACGTGTGAAAAAAGAAAGTTATTCTGTCTTTCCTGCTGTTACTCTGAGTTCCTGATACGCCTTCTGGCCGCTTAGTTAAAGTCTATTCGCCGCTGTAGGGTTGCTGAGTCAGCCTGTTGATCTTAAGCAGTCTTGCACTACTCGTTGCCTTTTAAATTTATTGTTAAATTACTCTTAAGTTCCCACCGCAAATAGTCGGTGTTATTGTGAGCACGAAGTATGTGCATTTTTGTTAAGAGTTTGACTAAAATTAAAGACTTTGTTTTACCTTTCTTCTGTGCTGGTATTATTCACGCCTGTGCAAGAAGTCGACAGGTTTCCTAAGAAGATCGCACTAACTGTATAAAAAAAAAGGTATAAAAGAAGATCGCACTAACTGTATAAAAAGGTTAGATCTTATATTTTTTTCAATTTGCGAACGAAATTGGAAGAAAAGGAAGCCGATGTAATTTTTTTTTTTATTTTGGAACAGATTTTGCATAGAATTCTCTCGATTTCAAGAACCAAAAAAATTTTTGTATCTGAAGAAAGAGGGACTTCTGTCTGATCGCCCTCGAAATCGGTAGAGTTTTATTCAAAATCTGAGGCAAATTAAGCCTATTTTTTTAGTTAATTTTAATTCGCAAAACAGTAAATAAAACTGTTCGGTAAAATAGTCAGAAATCTAGAAAAGTTCACGATGCTTTGCTACGTCTAATTATATCAGCTGTTTGAAAAACCTACTAATGCGTTTTGAGAAAATTATAAACCTTCAAAACAGAATTTTTTTAATTGTTAACCCGAAATCGATAGAGTTTTATTCATAATCTAAGCCAAATTAAGCCTATTTTTTTAGTTAATTTTATTTCGCAAAACAGTAAATAAAACTGTTCGGGAAAATAGTCATAAATCTAGAAAAGCTTATGATGCTTTGCTACGTCTAATTATATTTCAGTTGTTTGGAAACTTATTAATGCCTTTTGAGAAAAATATAAACCTTCTAAACCGAGATTTTTGAACTGTTAACGAAGCTGTCGAGAAAAATTACATCTTAGACTATAATATTTATTATACTAAACTAACGGCGTTCAGAAAAATACCCTCAATAGGAGAGGTCTATGGAGGAATTCCGAAAAGAAAATGGTTCATATTCATGTTATATGATAAGAAATTTATGAAAATATCGTTCAGCCACTGAAACAGAAACTGGAATGCACTACTAGAAATTAGTTACTAGTAGTGCATTTCCACTCCTAATGGTAGTAATTAGCTACTAGTAGTGATTACCCACTTGGCCGCACTTGGTCGTTCACAGTAGTTATACGAAAATTAATCGCGACGAACAATCATTTGTCGATATTATTTTCAGTATGCTTTCCATACATTCTAGAGTTCATGTTACCTCGACAAATATTTCAAACGACCTTACATTATACGACCTTTCAGAAGCTAATCCACACTCACAAAACAACATAAATGTTTGTGGTTGCGCTTTTTAAACTAATGCCCAGAAAAATCTTTTGGTTCATGGACCTTAAAGTGAAACTGGAAAACTCACAACAAATACAGTATACCATTCTTTGGCTCAGTTGCGTTCTTTATTGTCATGCATACAATCACAGGCGCTCAACAGATGTAGGCGAGATATGCAACAGAGGCCGGTAGGGCCATACTGCATAATATCAAGATAGAGATTATTTTATGCAGTTCGTGTGCTTGTATGAATACTGGTAACAACCTGGAAATTAACAGTGGTAATGCTTCAGGATCTTCAGTTAATTAAAAACAACCAAAAACTTGGTCTTGCTTGAAAAAGATAAGTGTTGACTGATAACTTTTTCGTCTCTCCATATCCGTTATGAGAATCTTTGAACCAAAACTACAAAAGTCTGAAACCAAGACTACTTATACTCTATTGAGAATAGCATAACGACTATATGACAATAATTATCAAGAATTATACGATTATTAAACTGAGTCTTGACCATGTGAAATATCATACGCTTATCACCAAAAAAAATTAACTGTCGTAACTACATATTCCTTTCATTTCGTTTCTAAAAACTCTTAGGTCCCACCAGAGGCCGAGTGTTTGAGACCGCTGAATACCGAGAGTTCGATCTGGTTCGATCCCAGAGAATGGGCAGGCTCCATGGTTTGTTTTCGTGGTTTTTCCCATTTGTACAGTAATAAGTGCCATTTCCTTTAAAAGGTCCTCCACAAAGGCATCCATCCTCTTAGGCAGATAGCTCTTACGTGCTTTGTCATACTTGAATAGCCTAACTGCAAACTCACAACATTCTGATTGAAATCAAGTGATGTTCCACCTTGTCCCTTTGTTCACATCATTTTTTTGCTGCAGGTCCTTGACGCGCGCCCATGCAGATGGGACAAAATTTACATACATGAGTGGAACAGCCAGATTTTTTTCCAGATCGCTTACTATTTAATAACAGTTTATTTGAAATCTAAAATTCATAACGAAACGTAAAATCAAAATATTAATTACACGTTTCTTATTTTATTAACAAGTTAAGATTAATTTGCATCTTTCCTGTATGCCACTTTTTCGTCACTAACTCGCTCATTCCATAGAACTTATGCAGATCTGAGTAGTAAGCAGTTAGTATAAAGTTAGGGAAATGGCTCGTAACCGTATGAGTGTTTATATCAACGTTCGGCCAACACCCATCATAGCAAAAGCCGCTACTCAAGAAGACTTAGAATTTCACGACGTAATTTTATTGGTAAATTAATGTTTTGAGTTAGGTTTTAGTTGCTGACCCATAGTTTGTAGCGTCGCTTAGAAATATTTAGATTCGTAACTTAGTAGGCTATTGACGAACTGTTTGTTTCACTGTTAAGCCAAGGCAACGGGTAATTTTCTGTTGTTATACTTTACTTTGTCTCTCTCGAGTGGTGAAGCAGAAAAAAACTTGAGTTAAAATTAGATATTTTTGCTTGTTAGATTTCAGCACTTATTTAAGCTAACTGTGGTAACTCACCAAATCGATTTTAGGTAGCATTTGATGGGTAGAAGTTCAACTTGAGTAGTTAAGAAGTAGAGGTAGTCCCACGTAAGTGTTACATCATATGTGACTGGAATTTAGCTTTACGTACGTGAGAGAAATTCCAGTAACATTACTAGTAAAATAGCATATTTATAAAGGTTCTTTCAAAGTTACAAATAACTTACCTTTGTTTGCTCCGTAACCAATTACTGACCACGACTTTCCTGATCCAGTTTGTCCATATGCAAACAGAGCAGAATTATACCCATCCCAAGCATTCCGCAGTACTCCACGGCCGAGATCACGATACACTCTTTCCTGTAGAAAGATATTAGTTATTATTGATATCGAAAAACATAAGTGCATTATCTGCAGAAAGCAGGATAAATGCATTACTTAAGCGTAGCAAACTGAAACTTAGAGTGAAGGGGGAAAAAAATGCTTGAGTTATACATATCGAAAGGATTTTAAAAAGATAGCAACGGAAATGTGAGAAAAAGTTGTTTATAACCAAATACGAAATGAACTCATAGTTATAGGTAAAAGATGTAAAACAAATATCACTAGGATACTAAAGAGAGAAAGGAAACAGACCATAGACATCCACGTAACTTACTGTCCTATTCCATTTCATTTCAGGATGGACCTAAAATTTTAATTCTTGCGTAGCTTAATCTTACTCTTTATTATGTTTCAAGAAACTTTCATTAACATTTAGAAAAATTTCTGAAATATTTGAAATCCTTATGAATGTGTAATTTTCCTCTAATATGTTTAAGAATACGATCTAAAATGAAATACCAATACAAGTGAAAACTGAGTTCGTAATAATTGCCAGGAAATACAGCGCTTGCCAGAACAATTATTGCTTGAGTATTTTTCAAATTGTTTAACCATATATTAGTGGAAAAGTTTATCTCGCAGTAAATAAATTCAGCCTTGATTTAGCAAATGTGCCAATTTGACTTGCCACATATTTATTTATATAGTCATAGCCACACTTAGGCTGTTTTGAGAACAAGAAAAATACCACGTACACTATGCTAACGGCTTTAAGAGCAGATGCATTAAAGCACGACTTTCTAAGAAAATATACATTTTACGTTACACATGAGGAAAACCATGAAAATTCCATCCATCGAAGTTATGAAAAGTTAGTCCATCCATCGGTAACAGGACCTGTAAACCATTATTTAGTAACTTTAGCCACTCGAACAAGGGTGGGCAGGGGCACGCCTATAATGAAAACAGTCATAATCATCTTAAATAATTCATTCTCATCCACATTTATCTCCTAATGTATGGAGTGATTAAAGTTTTAATAAGGTATGATTTGTTAAGTTTTATTTTAAGTAACACGCTACTTTTTAATTTGAATCTTCCCTGTACTTCTACTGTTTTCGTTTACTTCACCAGAAAATGCAAATGAAGCGAGGTTAAATAACGAACGAGAATCTAGATCTAGAAATTGGTGATTTAGGTTGGAAAGCGGTGATTCTGTTTCTTCCTCTTGCAGTGCGGTGCAGATTGTTGGTGAGTTTTACGAAAGAAGACAAGGTAACGGAAGAGTTAGGTTCTCCTTCTTTGATATTTGCAATTGATCCAACTACTGTTGTATTAACAAGCTACAAATAGCAGAAGCTAAGTTATGTTAGTCTCCTTAACTTTAATCTGAAGTATCAATAAATATTTTAGCTGCGTTTATAAATTTGTTGTTAACAATTTCCTCAGTAGAACTCTAAGTTAAGACTAGAGGACAAGTCTTCAGGCAATCTCAGTATTTAAATTAAGTGTAAAATACAATCTTACAGATTAACAAACTTATCTGGATTAGAACTTTTGTTTCATTTATTAAAAAAAAAAGAGTTTTATTAGGAATTATAGCATCCTCTCATGCATGCGCTTATCGTGTAGTGCCTAGCACATCAGCTGCGAATAGAAGATCCGTGAGTCGAACACCAAAAACTGTGTGTTTTATTTTACACGGTCCCGCTCCGAAAGTTTATTAGTTCCTTCAAGTTATAAATTAAACTTTCCGTTTTTATAATTAACCTTATTACCTTCTCAGACAATGTAGAATATATATGTAGTACAGTAAATTTTTCAGTTTACAGAAAGCTGAAACGAAATTAAAATTTGTTTCTTATCATCGAAATTGCGTCAGAACTGGTAACGCTTGAGTGAAATATACGGACATTCAATTTAAAACACATTTTCTTGATGCTTTTTTGTATTTGGTATTACAAGACTTCACATATATGCAAAGTTGATTAAACTATCTTTTTTTCCTTCTTTTGTACTCGGCATACTTACCGACATAGTATATGAACTTTAAATCATATGTAGAACCTCTTTTCCTATTAGCAACTAAGAAAATCATCTTTTACTTGATTGCTGAATTCACTGTTTTCGATAGGATACACATCAACTGATATTGCTGAAACGTTCCGTGGCATTTCCACCACTTTACCTGCATTGACAAAACCTTCATAATAAAATCTTCACAACGTACATCATTTACGTCTTTTCAAGCCTACTGTTCAATTTAAGCTTTATATTGGTAGTTTAGAATTCATTTAAAGTTTTCCAGAAAACTGTTCCTGCTTACGTTTAAGTCCACTGAATTCCAAATACCACGAATAAAATCAATAATAATTTTTAAGAGAATTTTGGTTTCTTTGTTTGAGTCTTTGCTGAAAATGAGCCGCTTCCGATAATTTGCCTTAAGACAGTGGTGAACTACATGTGAAATCTGGTTTGGACCATTTCTTGACTGCAGCACAGATTTATAAGGAAATTAGTGAACAGAGAAAAGATTGTAAATATGTATGTAAAGAGTTTGAGGGAAAACTGCTGATATCTTTCTTCTTTAACTTCTCTTACTTTGTTATTTACGCACTACATTTTAATTTAATTCCATTGAAAATTATATTTTATTTCCAAATAACTGAAAGTTTCTTGCATCTGAATTTCTTACGACGGATGTCAACTGTAATGTATGCTGATTAATTTATCCAAATTAAATATTGAAATTTTTAACTGAAATAGCACAAAATTTCAAACTATTTCAATTCACCGAAAGTTGCGTGAAATTTGTACCTATAATTGTAACTGTATGCTTAATGAAAATGCATTATACATATTATTCATTTAATACAGTGGATACATTTTCATAACAAGTGTTGTCAAGAGTTCTGTTTAGAAAATTACTATTCCGATTATTGGGAGTGGTGGGGGATAGAAATTGAAAATCATTTTCATATTCTTAAAATTCTTAATCATTGTGCTTTAAATCTGTATTTTAGGTGAAATGTTAAGAGGTGTCAGCTAACTAGCAACTCAGTGCACTGGAGAGCTTCTTTCCTTAATGGAAAGGGCTGTCTAAAACGTAATAACTTTTACGCGTTTCTCAAAAATTCTGATGTTAGTACATAAGAAGAAAATTTTATTCCAATTTTTTTCAAATATTCAGAAAGTTATAATTCCAAGGTTCCAGTGGCCATGAAAATAAAAGAATCTTTCACTGAAGATCGAGTTAACTTTGATAACTAAAGCTTCATATCCTGAGCGTATCTTCCTAATATCTTAAATGTTTCAGACCTCTGAGACTATTTTACTTTTGAAACAATAACACAACTACCGTTCGGCATATTTAACTGGATCTCTTTCTTTTTCTTCTTCCCATAAGAAACAAATTTTACTATATATTCCTCTGTTTTGAAGAATTTAAAATGGGAAACCTATGTCAAGTCACACTTTAGGACCGAGAATAAAAAAACGAAAAGAGCAATGTCTATGTTACACTCCAATAATTGACTCCGCGTAACATTAACAATTTTCATAATGCTCCAAAACATCGAACCTACTGAACTGAGACCATAAAATTTAATTATGAACTTTGGACATTGAACTGAAAGATCTGAGCTTAGTACAGGTTTACCTGTAACAAATATCTTTACATAACAAGAATCAGACTCCCAATATATTAGCAAAATCAAATCCCATTTGTTTATCCTCTCACATAAAAATGAAATCATTTTAGTGCAATGATCTCCAAAATATCAACTTTACTATATTCACGTAATATAATATTTTAATGAATATATTAAACAGTTTGTATTATTTATGTAATTTTGTATATATATAACTTTGTACGTAATTTTATGTTATTATCTTCTTATATTTAAATGTAACAACTCCGATGTATAACCCCAGTATTACTTAGAAATAGCATATAGTCAATTCAAGTTTTTGATATTCTAGCTTGTTACTGTTTTGGAGCAATACCTGCTCGATTCTGCAGTGACGTTTCTGGTGCCCCATGCGCTTTACCTGTTTACCTACCTGTGGGGTGTAGAAATTCCAATCAATGTCCTTCAGATCCTACTGGACTGACAAGCGAGTTACCGCTCCAGTCTGAATTCAGATGACAAAGTCCTACGAAGGTTAAAATGACCTATTTGTTAACTCTTTAAAATTAAAAGAAGTCAAAAAGTCACGAATAGTCAACAATAGTCATTTTTTGCACCACTTGTGCTTACAAACAAAACTCCGCCCCTTGTAGATATTTAAAATAGCATGCATAAGTTGAAATTAAAATCAAATTAACGTAGTTGGAGAAGACACAAAATGCTCTAATATTTTAAATATTTTAAATGGAGGCTCAAATATTTTAAATGGCTCAAATATTTTAAATGGAGTGTTTTTAATGTTCATAATAAAATGTAATACGTAATAACTAGACGTGAAACGAACCAGACATGAAAGCGAGTCAAAAAGTCATTTCTCCGGGAAAAGAAGTAAGACAGAAATTTTAAATTGGCACAAAAGAAAGAAAAAATATGTTGGCCTCACCAAAATGCTAAAGCATGCATTTTAATTAGGCTAAAATAACATTTGCAACAAATCTTACCACTACATTAAAAAAATGCACAGCATCAGAGCACACAGGAAAAAGTAAAATAAAATTTACAATTAAATAAAATTACACTAGATGAAACAACCAAAAATTTGTCGGACACATACTTGTATACATTGTACAGCGAAATAAGATTAGTGATTAATCATTACATATATCATCACTGCCTTAAATATAATACTGTCATTCTGCCTTAATAATGAATTCCATTAATCTTTGTACACCATTATGATAGTTTGGAGTTGTAATAGTTTATTATTATTAGAAACAATTTTACTGAAGAATTCTCTTCTAAATTTCGACGAAATTGGACATTTACTTTATAAGTTCTAAGACAGCTTTACTTTAGTTAATGGCGTTTACTGAAGTTAACTTTTAATTTTTTTATCATTTTGCATTTGTTTTCATCTGGTTTTTCACCCCGCACTAATAAAAAGGATATTGTTGAACTCGATTTCGCTTCATGTGAAAATAATATGCTTACCTGATCACAAAACTTGCTTCCATTTGGTTGAGTCTGATCTGGTGTGCAGTATCCATTGGGAAGCTCTTTGTAACCATCGTGTGACCAGTAGCTGTGATCATAAGTAAACTTCTTGACGGGATCACTAGGGTCGTCAGGATTTGTGAGAAATGTCGTATTCCCCGACATCTGAACAATGGACTTCGCATTTCTTTGCTTTTCTCGCTGATTTTGATCACGTTAAGAAAAACAACTCATTCCATTTAAAAATACGAAAGTAAAATTCCACAGTTACAACTGATAATGGGTAATAATGTTTCATTTGAATGACAAGGATTATTGTTTGAAATTAAGTTTACAATTAAAGGCTTCTTCAGCTGCTTCTCCATTAAAGATCCCTAGAAAAAAAACAGTATCGAGGGAGGACGAAGAGAAGGAAGAATTTTCTAAAAATAGATTACAGATTATAGCGAAGCGAAAGGCACTATTAAAAAACTAGTAAAATTCGAAATATGTTTAACCACTGCGAAAGCAGTTATTTAAAAATTCATTACAAAACATAATTTTACTTTACTATATGCCACATTGCGATTAATAATGGAAACCAAACAACAGGACTACAGCAAAATTTCTAAAATGAAGTTCTTTGGCATCTTTAGATATTCTACTGAAGGTTCATAATTGGAAGTGGATGATTTCTACACAGCCAGCCTCATTCTTCATTCTCATATAGGCTTAAGCTAATTATTAAACCGAAAGCATATTATGTGTGTTTCGGGAACTTCTAAAATTTATGAATCGGGGAAAGGAAAGAGCGCGACTGCAAGAACATTACCTTTCCTACTTCTCCTGGTGTAATTAGTAGCACGTCCAGCTGACAGTCGGAAGTTCTGTGGTTCGAATCCTGAGAGTAAAACTGATTTGTCCCATTTCTGGCTTCGAAAGGGAAGGAAGGACATAAGCCTTCTTCAACTGGAGAATATGGGCTGGTGAGCTATAGGATGACGCCATAGGAAAGGTGAGATCCTTCCATGACATTCTTTGCTTCAGATTTGAATATGGGCGTTTCGTTAAATGTTTAGATTCTGTTTTTAACAATGCACAATAACTAAATTTCTACAGACTTACGGGAAAATGTATATAAAAGGTCATTTATTCATTTGCAGTTAAGATTAATACTTAATAAGCATTATTTTAAGAAATATTCAGGAAATTTTCCAATCCAATGTTTTAAGATATTTTGTACAACTATTTTTATACTATACAGTAATGAATTTTTAGGATTTCCTGAAAAACAAATTTTTAAAATAAGTAAATAAATAAATGAAAGATTGTTATTTATTATCCTAAATAAATTTGTGCGGTTTGAGTTTTCTTACTTCCATTAAATATCAAAGTAAATGGAATTCTTAAATAAATATTCCGAAAAATATGTTTACAGAATTTACTATTGATTTCATTGATAACAAATTTTGCCGGCTTAATTTCACAGATATGAAGGAAAGGGAAAGGAAAAGAATGAAAAGATTCCAAAGTATAAATAATTCGTTGACAAAAAATAAACATTATTTAACAAATTAACAGATATACTTTTTTATTATCTTATTACAATATAATTATTTATTGGTCATTAATGTAGTTTTCAATCTTAAGAATAAATTGAATGAACGTAGCAATATATCCAATTCTTCAAAACTATAAATATTTCAGAGCTTTCAAAAAGTATGCAAATGTATTTTTAAATCATTTCAGTTATTATCTAATAAAAGAACAGTAAATCAAAAGTCGCAGAAAAAAATTAGTCTCCCGAATTCATCTTGGCACTAGTCAAGATGATTCATCATCTGAAATCATCTTGACATGTGCCAAGATGAATTAAATAAACTATAATTTTGCTGCAATATTACAGCAAGCGAATTATTAATAATGCAATGATATCCTTATAATCTGATAGTAAGAAGGAAATCCTAAAGGGCTGATCAGATGCTGCTTCAATAATTTTAAGATTCCCAGCAAAAGCATTTTTTTTTCTCTTTGTATGTCACCTTCTTTTTCTCACGAACTTATCACTCAATAAATTCAATAGTTTTTCCTGCTGCAATAAATTTTTACCTTTTACATATTTGGTATTAGCTCAACTGCTTGTTGATCCATAAAGAATTTTTCGGAGATGATCAGTGGATGAAAGGCGGATTAGCTCGCGAAAACATGATGAAGACTAATTTTAGCCCTACTCAGAAATCTATCGCTATATTTATTAAAAAATACTAAACAAATAACTAAAATTAACTAGCAGTCTGAACTTAGAAATGCAAAATAGGTTAACTATTTTACTATATTACTTTACTCAAATTAAGTAATAAAAAAATACCCGAATAATGAAAAAACACAATGCAACGTTAATGAACAACAAACAAACTAAAATAGGAATTCTTCGCTTGTAGTGTCCACAGTGCAGAGCGAAGGGTTAAAGTTCGGACGCCTTTCACGACATCAAATAACATGACTTTGCAGCTGGCCAGGCCAAAGGCCTGGCCATCCGACTAAAAATACGACGGAAGATAATTCGTCACCACCTGAGTTTGACCGACTTGGTTACCGTTTTTCTTTTCTCCTTGTTGACCTTGACTAACTAACCCCAGTTGAAGTGGGCGAGAATGTAAAGAATTTTCGCCTTCCCCACTGCATGCTTTCGTGGTGTAGTTGGCAGTATGACTGGCTAGAAGTCGAAAAATCCGGATTTTGAATCCTAGTTGTGTTGATTCCTCATATTTTCTGTCCCGAAAATCGTAATACTCCTAATATCGTAAGCTAAACTAACTCTAATTAAGCTTTTCTAGAACGCTTGACTAATAAAACATTTTATTTTAAACATTGAAAAAAAAATCGTAGTTCCACATTCCATATCTGCTTATAATCTACGCTACGGCTTTCCAGCATACTCTGAATAAGGTAAATAGACGGGGAATTAATAATAGGAATCATGGGTGTTTACTCTGCTTAATACTATCAGGCATAACCACCTTTATAGAAAACAGAAAAATGTATAAGGAGTTTCAAATGCGCAGGGAGAAAAAATATGCATTTAAAATAATATTAGTACCTACAATCGAATTTTTATTGTAATATTATTACTGATAAAGCTAATATTTTATTAGCTGCAGATACAAAATTTAATCTAAAGATTCCCCAAATTCTAAAAATTTATTATAATTTCCTCAGAGGCCAAAACATTAAAAAAAAGCTCCCTGCAGATAAGGTTTTTCAAACGTTTCTCACTTGTCACCTGTTCAATCAGACGCACTTTGTCTTGATTTGGTCCCTCTGTTATAACGATCGTCCCACAAAATAAAGCATTAACCACTGTAGTCCATCTCATTGCAGAACATTAATAAGACTTTCAAAAAAAATTAAGAAACATCTTTCAGACGTAAATTACATGTATAGAACCAAAAACTAAATTATAAAAGAAAATATGAATTTACAAACATACATTTCAGTGCACAAGCAAAGAAAGAAATGCCCGATATGAATAAAAAGTCAAATTATCAATTAGTCATAAAAATACAATTTTAAAACGCTTCTGCGACTCCCAATAATTTTCAAAAGTGAGCGCCTTCCTATATTTTGTTTATATAAAGTTTTTCGACAATACATTTAATACCCAGAAGCGTCAAAATAAGTTAATTTTAATTACTCGTTTGAGCGTCCCTTAGGAAATGCCTGGAAAATTATTGCAAGCCTTCTGAAAAGTTAAATCTTCCAACCTTGAATCTTAAATTAGTCTAATAAAAAGTAGGGTTAGCTCTATTCGTTCAAAAAAAATGCTAAAAATTAAAATTTACTGCTGAAGATATAAAACTTTGTTCGCTAAAGCGACACTTTCTGGAAAGATCTGATTTATTTTGAGCATGGCTTTACTTCCGATAACGGCATACCAATGGGTATGTGGATAAGACAACTGAACAGTGGTAATCTCAGCGAAAAAGCTGGCTACTAGGGTGTTTTCATGTTTTTCTTTATATGTAACACGAATACAAGCCAGTTTCCCTCAGAAAGTTCTCCATGAAGACATCTCTCTGAAACCGCTTTCTCGAAATCTCCACCAATTTTGCACCACTTTTAGGTTTTGAAGTGAAATTACCAATCACACTGTTTCGGCTTTATTTATGTTAGTAACTGCTCATCAATTAGTTATAGGTTTTACATAAAAGTAGACTGTTGTTACAGTGAATATCATCTTGTTAGACAAACTGGAGTTAGTTATAATTACCAAACTTGTTTTGAAGTCTATCAAATAAATATAGCTAGTGTAATGAGGAGTTTCGATTTCCCGCCTCTTTTATAATCAGCATGCGAAATAGCAGTAATTTTCAAAATTCACCGCTTTTTATTCAAGACTAAATTTTTTTACTTCTGATCATCCTTTCGTATTACCTAGTACATATTAACAAGACAAAGTGCTGATAGCAAATAATACAGTGTATATTTTTGTATGAACTTCCGTCAAACTCAAACTGAACATAAACACACTGCTGCACATAAATAATAAATTACACATCTAAAATCAATATGTAGAGACATTAGGTTATTTTGGAGAAGGTGATGTGAAAAATGTGCAGTGCCCTTGCCGGGACTCGAAGCCTGAACCTCTCGAATACGCATCGAGTATAGTTCCAATAACACCACTAAGGCATGCGGAAAGAGGGAGAAAATACCTTATAAATTGTTAAAGTGGTGGTGTGGTGTGGTGTATTTAATTATGGCAAAGCACACTAGGGCTATCTGCCTAAGGGGAGGGATGCCTTTCGTGGAGGACTTTCTAAGGGAAACTGGCTCGTATACACGTTACACATGGGGAAAACCACGAAAACGCCCATGCAGCCAGCCCGTTCGCGGGATTCGAACCTCGGACCGAACTACCAGTGTTCAGCGTCTTTACCGCTCGGTCGCTGGTGGGCTATAAATTGTTAAAGAAATAAAACCCTATAGTCATCTTTTGTGAAAGCCCTGTATATTTCTTTTAGGAATTTTGAGCATTCTAGGCTGGAAGACCTTCCCTATCAAGCTATTTACTGGTCTGTAATGTTCGTATTGTTCTTTAGCCTCAAAGTGAACTTTTTCCTTTCTTCAGCTGCCGCCATGAGAAAGAAGTATAAATTGAGAATGAGAGATCACCCAGAGTTATGCACATTTTCTGGCTATTTAAATTTATTAGAATAGTA